TTTTTTTTTTTTTTTTTTTTTTTTTTTTTTTTGGTATTTTTGTAGAGATGGGGTTTCACCATGTTGGCCAGGCTGGTCTTGAACTCCTGACCTCAGGTGGTCCGCCCATCTCAGCCTCCCAAAGTGCTGGGAATACAGGCGTAAGCTACCGTGCCTGGCCATACTTTTTCATTTCTTTGCATGTATATGTCTTGTAATTGTTGAAAACTAGACATTTTAAATAATATAATGTGGCAGCTCTGGTAATCAGATTTATCCCCTCTTCAGGATTTGGTATTATTGCTGTTTGTTGTTGTTTAGTGGCTTTTCTGAACCAATTCCGTAAAATTGTTTAGGTCAGTGTTGGGCGGCATTTATGATGGTGGTCCATGAGATTATATAATACCATATTTTTACTGTACCTTTTCTCTGCTCTATTATCGTAGTGATCAGCTAATGCTTGTTAAGATTTCCTTAGATCCTGGCATCAACACGTCTCTCAGTCTTTGTGTGGACTCTGTAAATCTGGGATATGCCTTCAACTTTCAGCCAGGCAGTTGACCACTCTGCCTTAGCTTTCAATTCTATTCTATTTGCATAGACCTCAAGGTCAGCTTACAGTGAGTTCTTAGATCCTTCTAAAGTTTTTTTTGTTTTTTTGTTTTGTTTTAAATTGGAGACGGAGTTTCACTCTTGTTGTTCAGGCTGGAGTGCAATGGCGTAATCTCAGCTTACTGCAACCTTCGCCTCCTGGATTCAAACGATTCTCCTGCCTCAGCCTCCCAAATAGCTGGGATTACAGGCATGTGCCAGCATGCCTGTCTAATTTTATAGTAGCGATGGGGTTTCACCATGTTGATCAGACTGGTCTTGAACTCCTAACCCCAGGTGATCCACCTGCCTTGGCCTCCTAAAGTGCTGGGATTATAGGTATGAGCCACCATGCCAAGCCACTTCTAAAGTCTTTCCTGAGCAAATGCACAGCCCTGGGTATGAGCACATCCTATACATGTACATTGGGCTTGCAGATTCCCTGGTATATTTTGGAGTTTTTGCAGGTCACTGTGGACATTGGGCTTGCAGGTTCCCTGGTATATTTTGGAGTTTTTCCAGGTCACTGTGGACATCTTATTCTCCAATGTTTTCTTTTCAGCCTTTTTGTTAGTCTGTTGTCACCAGCTGTTACCCCCTGCTTTGGCAGCCACAATGTGCGACAATTACCTTTTTTTTTTTTTGAGATAGAGTCTCGCTCTGTCAACCAGGCTGGAGTGTAGTGGGGTGTGATCATGGCTCACAGCAGCCTCGACCTCCTGGGCTCAAGCAGTTTTCTTGCCTCAGCCTCCTGAGTAGCTGGGACTCTAAGTGTGCGCCACCATGCCCAGGTAATTTTTACAAAATTCTTTTGTAGAGACAGGGTCTCTATGTTTTGCCCAGGCCAGTCTCAAATTCCTGGACTCAAGAGATCCACCTGCCTTGGCCTCCCAAAGTGCTGGGATTGCAGGTGTGAGCCACTGCCTGGCACCTCTAAATCTTTTTAACTGAAGCTGCTGGGAAAAGGCTGTTCCCACTGGGCAGGCTCTGAGTAAGGTCAAATAAAGACAGCTTTCATAGTAGGGTCTTCTAGGGAATTACTAGCCAGGGTAAATAATGACAGGCTTCTGAGCATAAAGCTTTGAAGGAGCTCTAACTTGTTCTGCCCCCTCCAGAGGCTCCTAGGTTGCTGGTTTTCATCGTGATTTGGGCTGTGAGTTTCTAAGACTATCACAGAGCTGGAGAAAGGGGAATGGGAATAGGGTAAATTAAAACACCTCAAAGCTCACTGTTTCTACTTAGCTATTTTCTATGAGTAAATGCTGTGATCCTCGGATAATATGCAGAGTTCTGAAAGAACAGAGGTATACTTTGTTTATGGATAGGGAGATTTGAAAGTATAGATTTCAGTTTTTTCCAAAATGAATTTTAAATTAAATGTAATCTCAACTTTTCAGTGGATGTAAAATAACACAAAATGATTCTAAAATGTATGTGGATTTTAACTCGATCAAGACAGTTATAGGTAGGCAAAAAAAAAAAATTAAACTAAAATATAATGTATGTGGAAATACAAAGGGGCAAGAATAACTAAATTATTCCTAAACAATAAGAAGATGGGAGGAAACTGCTCAACCTGATACAAGAACTATTATAAAATTAAAGAAATTAAGATGTGTGGTATCGTTACAGATAAGACAATGAAACCTTTCATACCTTACATTTAGGTTTGTCTCTTTTAAATTGAGAGCTTACCCAACTTATATTTGTTTTAATTATAATTTATTTATTATATATCTGTCAGTTTTTATGTTTCCTGTTTGTCTTTTTCTGTATTTCCCCCTTATTTCTTGTTTTTTTTTTTTTTTTTTATTGTTAATGTTAATTTCCCCCCACATTTTATTGGTTTCTATCCTTTTAATATTTACTCTAAATTTTTAACATATTTAACCAAATGTAAAGTGAATCTGTATCCTTTCTTTTTTTTGCGGGGGGGGTGGGGCGATGGAGTCTTGCTCTGTCGCCCTGGCTAGAGTGCAATGGCACGATCTTGGCCCACCGCAACCTCTGCCTCCCAGCATGAAGCAATTCTCCTGCCTCAGCTTCCCAAGTAGCTGGGATTACAGGCACCTGCAATCATGCCTGGCTCATTTTTGTATTTTTAGTAGAGACGGGGTTTCACCACGGTGACCAGGCTGGTCTTGAACTTCTGACCTCAAGTGATCCGCCTGTTTCAGCCTCTCAAAGTGCTAGGATTACATCTAGTGCCTTTTTAGTTAGTCTGTCTTTTCTCTCTGGCTCCTTATAAGGCCTTCTCTTTGTTTTTGGTGTTCTGCAGTTTCAGTATTAGGGCTACTGCGTTGCATAACTCCAGGGAACACACCATCTGTGTGGTGTCTGTGGATAGTGTCCCCTAGAGTTGTGTAATCTGGTTAGTAGAGATGTGGATTTCTTTTATGTATCCTGTTTATGATTCATCATGCTTCCTATGTATGAGGATTTATATTTTTAGTCAATTTTGGAAAATTTCTTGAATAATTACTGCTTTTTCTTTTTCTTTCCTTTTTTTTTTTTGGAGACAGAGTTTTGCTCTTGTTGCCTAGGCTGGAATGCAGTGGTACAATCTTGGTCTATAGCAACCTCCACCTCCCGGGTTCAACCGATTCTCCTGACTTAGCCTCCTGAGTAGCTGGGAATACAGGCACCAGCCACTATTTTCAGCTAATTTTTGTATTATTAGTAGAGATGGGGTTTCACTGTGTTGGCCAGGCTTGTCTCGAACTCCTGACCTCAGGTAATCCCAAAGTGTTGGGATTACAGGCGTCAGCCAGCATGCCCAGCCTGCTTTTTTTTGTTTGTTTGTTTTAAAAAACAATATTTATATAAATTTATAGGGTACAGTTTTTTTACATGCATAGTGGTCAAGTGAGGGGTTTTAGGGTGTCACCTGAATAACATACATTGTACCCCTTAATTAATTTCTCATCACCCACCCCCTCCCATCTCCTCACCCTTCTAAGTCTACATTTTCTATCATTCCACTCCCTACATCCATGTGTACACCTTTTTTAGCACCCACTTATAAGTGAGAACATGCAACAATTGTCATTCTGTGTCTGGCATATTTCACTTAAAATAACCTCCACTTCCATCCATGTTGCTGCAAATAGGATTTCATTCTTTTCTATGGCTGAATAGTATGTCTCATTTCCTTTATCTGGTCATCCATTGATGGACACTTGGGTTGGTATTGTATCTTTGCTATTGTGAATAGTATTGAGATGAATATTCAAGTGCAGGCATATTTTTGATGTACTGATTTCTTTTCCTTTGGGAAAAGAAGGAGAGGGAATTGCTGCTTTGGCGGTGTCCATATTATCTATCTGGAACTTAGAACAGGCGTAAGTTAGACCCATTTTATTTCATTTCCTGTTTCCTTAAACCGTCTTTCATATATCTTACATCTTTTTCTCTCTTGACTACATTCAGAGTAATTTCAGATTTATGTTTTTATTCAAAAAGTCTCTTTATTTTAATCTGTTATTTGACATGTGCATTGAACTTTTCATTTTATCATGTTTTTAATTCTAGAAGATTTTAGTCTTTTTCAAATCTATTTGAACCGTTTTGGTAGTCTGTTGTTCTTTTCTCATGTTTTTGTTTCACTATTTTAAACATGTGAACATTTATGTTCTGTATTTGATAATTTTAACATCTGAAATCTTTATGCTCATAGTGCTTGTATCTTTTGTAATTTTTTGTATAGGTTTATTTTTCTTTGAACTCCATGGGAATTATTTGAGACTTGAGTTAAGGGTTGAGGGCTTGAGTTGTATTGTACTGAAGCTTTTCTTTCAGATAGGAGTTGTGCTTGCTTCTACCAGGTTTCCTGGGGCACAACCAGCCTAGGACTACTTTAAGTTAAATTTAGGCTTGGGGTTTCTGGGACCTTGCAGGTTGTATTAATTTGGATCCTTAATTTATCTGCAGACTGGCCCTTGGTTACATAAAATTTATTGAAAGAAACTTCATTTTTCTTCTCCTTCAGAACCAAGACCAAGAGAGATACTTTTTCTTGCCTGTTCCCTTTGAAGAACAGATTTATATTTAATTGATCCTTTCATTTTAGTTATAGCCCTTCCTGGCTTTACATGGGAGCTTTGGATCTAACTTACCACCTTGCAGAGGCCCAAGCCTTCTGTGGCTGTAAAAGCACATGCTGTAGGTTATCAGAGATAGAAGATAGATGCCCTTAGGACAACAGAAAGTTTCAACCTTGGTTACATCTTTGGATTCGTTCTTATGTTTTTAGTTTGGCCTTTCAGGATTTTCCTTACTCTCTTGCAAGCTCAACGCTAAATTTAAAAGGATTAAGAAGTATTTTTTATCCAACATTTCTGTTAGAGTAGTTTGTTTTTTCTGCCCTAATTGCTGACTAAACTTTTATTTTTTGGTACATATTAGGGGCAAGCTGCGAGTATCTGGGTCTGGAAAGCATTTCTTAGTGATTGATTTGTGGCTATTCACAATATTGCCTAGGATCTGGGTATGTGTAAATACTCAGCCTGTATCGTGTTGAAAATTACTGTCAATAGAATGTACTAAAGTGATCTACATCTATTTTTTTTTTTTTTTTTTTTTTTTTGAGACAGAGTTTCACTCTTGTTACCCAGGCTGGAGTGCAATGGCGCGATCTCGGCTCACCGCAACCTCCGCCTCCTAGGTTCAGGCAATTCTCCTGCCTCAGCCTCCTGAGTAGCTGGGACTACAGGCACGCGCCACCATGCCCAACTAATTTTTTGTATTTTTAGTAGAGACGGGGTTTCACCATGTTGACCAGGATGGTCTCGATCTCTTGACCTCGTGATCCACCCGCCTCGGCCTCCCAAAGTGCTGGGATTACAGGTTTGAGCCACCGCGCCCGGCCCGTGATCTACATCTATTAAAGAAAACTGTATATTTTCAAATTTCCTAATATTGTCAGTAATATCCTTTGGTAATATTTCATTTTAATAAAATTAGTACAAGGTAGTTTGCAAATGATTAAGGAATGTTGTAAAGAAATTGACTTTTCTTCTTCAGTGTGCTTATCTAGTAACTTTTTTTTTTTTTCCTGTTTACCAAGTATTGGACGGACTCAAATGGTGTGGAATCTAAATCATTAACTCCAGTCTTATGCAGACCATCTGCAAATAAACTAAAGAACAAAGAAAATGTATATACTCCTAAGTCCGCCCTAAAGAATGAAGAGTACATTATGTTTCCTGAGCCAAAGACTCCAGTTAATAAGAACCAGCATAAGAGAGAAATACTTACTACGCCAAATCGTTACACTACACCCTCAAAAGGTATTTGCTAAGTGAATTAAGCAGTAAGAAGTTTCATTTTTCTTACCACATTAAGTAAACATACAGCGGGTCAGAAATGACTAGCATTGCTTTCAGGAATTTTTAGAAGTCAAGCTGCTTTTTTTTTAAAATCATATCATGTTATTTGCATTTGTTGAAATGAAAGCATATTTGTCAATTTTAATTTCTTCTCAAATGATACCAAGTGTTTCCTCTTTTTCACATTTATAGAGTTGAATCATAGCATCTAGGATATCAAAGCTGAAAGGCAAGTTAGAGCTCATTTAATCCAACTCCTTTTTTCACCGCTAAGAAACCTGAAACTCAGGAGTGAAGTGAAGTGATTTACCCAAAGTCATACACCCAGGTTTAGACCCTGGTTACCCATTTACCCCGACTTATGACTCAAGCTGATGCCTCTGTTGAGCCTTTATTCATCTGGATCTCCAGTTCGTGTGTCTGGTCCTGTTCTGCCCTTTGGTATTACTGCCTGTCCTCAGCAGACAGTGCGAATCTGTGATGTCCTTCCAGATATCTGTCTATGTCCAGTTATACAACTTCCTAATTTCCTTTGGTTTCCTTGATGATACTTCACTGTTTTGGTTGCTGGCCTCATCTGGACACATTCTATTTGGTCAGTCTGCCTCTTAGAATACAGTGCCTGAAACTAAACTGAGTTTTCTAGGGTTGGGTCTCACTAGGATAGGGTGGTAAGTGCCATGACAGTAGAGACTGTCTGCCTTGTTTATTGCAGCATGGCATGGTCTGTAGTAGGGGCCGTACCTGTCTGGTACATAGTAGGTGCCTGAAGCCTAGTAAATAATAGGGGCCATATTTATGGAACGAAGGAATAAATTAAAGCCTGAAGGAATTTTATTTACAGTGATCCTGTTTATGTCACTTTAAAAAAAGTTACTTAAACTTTACTAGCCTTTTTTACCCCAGCAGTTGTGACCTTCTCTATTGTTAAGATTCTAACAAACCTAAACTCTGGAGCATTGCCATGTGAACTACTGCAAAACCACATTCTACCATTGAACTTCTAGTTTACTAATGGAGCTCATGGCCAGTTTGAAGGGTTAACTTCTTATCTGTAAAGATATTACTGAAGACCTTTGTCAACTATTTGCTAGAAGTCCCATTTTTATGTTTATGACATTCTCCATTTTATCAACTCAAATAGCAGTTTCCCCCAAAATGTGAGGCCAGTTTTGTGTCCTGATGATGATGATGATGATGGTGTGTGTGTATGTAGTGTGTGTAGTGTGTGTGTGTGATGTTGTGTGTGGGGGGTGGTGCCTGTGGTTGTTATGCGGATTCAGTGAGATAGCCTCTACCAGACAATGGTTGCTGCTATTGCATTCTTTCACAGTGAAGCGATCTCTTTCTCTTCTGTTATTTCTCTTACTGTAAACACAACACCCTTTGTGAATCATAGGATTGGGCAGGGAGATAAAATGGACCTTAGCTCATTCAAGGCTTTTCTTTTCTTGTTTTCTTTTTTTTTTGAGACAGAGTTTCACTCTTGTTACCCAGGCTGGAGTGCAATGGCGCAATCTCGGCTCACCGCAACCTCCGCCTCCCGGGTTCAGGCAATTCTCCTGCCTCAGCCTCCCGAGCAGCTGGGACTACAGGCACGTGCCACCATGCCCAGCTAATTTTTTGTATTTTTAGTAGAGACGGGGTTTCGCCATATTGACCAGGATGGTCTCGATCTCTTGACCTCATGATCCACCCGCCTCGGCCTCCCAAAGTGCTGGGATTACAGGCTTGAGCCACCGCGCCCGGCCTCTTTTCTTGTTTTCTTTTCTTTTTCTTTCTTTCTTTTTTTTTTTTTTTTAAATGTTTTTGAGATGGAGTCTTGCTCTGTCACCTAGGCTGGAGTGCAGTGGCGCGATCTCAGCTCACTGCAACCTCTGCCTCCAGGGTTCAAACAGTCGTCCTGCCTCAGCCTCCCAAGTAGCTGGGATTACAGGCTCCTGCCACTATGCCTGGCTAATTTTCATATTTTTAGTAGAGATGGGGTTTCACCATATTGGTCAGGCTGGTCTCGAACTCCTGACTTCAAGTGATCTGCCTGCCTCAGCCTCCCAAAGTGCTAGATTACAGCTGTGAGCCACCACGCCTGGCCCAGGGCTTTTTTATTAAAAAAAAACTTTAATGCCATCATCCCTTCCATTATTGACATTTCTTAACTTTTTGTGTAACTCTGAAGGTTTTGCAATGTGGGTAGTTTGGAATTTATTTTATAATCTTGAAATATCATCAGTTGACATATGTTGTCACTATGAGAAAGATCGTGTTGGTCAAAGCTATTATTGGTCGTTTTTTTTTAAACACAGGAGCCACTTAAGGAAGTAAGTGGCTAAAGCCATAATTGCTAGCTTCCACTGGCACTTTACATTTTACTTTCTTTTTTTTTCTTTCCTTTCCTTTTTTTTTTTTTGAGGCAGAGTTTTGCTTTTGTTGCCCAGGCTGGATTGCAGTGGCATGATCTTGGCTCACTGCAACCTCTGCCTCCTGGGTTCAAGCGATTCTCCTGCCTCAGCTGGGATTACAGGCGTGTACCACCATGCCCGGCTAAATTTTTGTATTTTTAGTAGAGATGGGGTTTCAACATGTTGGCCAGGGTGGGTCTTGAACTCTTGACCTCAGGCGATCCGCCTGCCTTGGCCTCCCAAAGTTCTGGGATTACAGGGGTGAGCCACTGTGCCTGGCCCTGCATTTTACTTTCATTGTCAGTTATTTTTGACGTAAGTATTAATTTAATTTTTGTCACTCGTGTACGATGCAGGCATTGGCAGTTTGCCGAAGGGCAGTTCTGTATGGTGGTAGATACTGTCTGTATGCAAAGATGAAAACTGTTTTTATAGATGTTTCTGATTGCTCTTATTTTCTTATTCTTGTGGAAAGTGAGAATATAGCCAAATAGTCATAAATAAAACTAAGCTCCTAATCTCTTTTTAAAATATTGATGTTATATCTTTGTTACTATAATGTGAATATTATCTCTAAAGGGTAAAACTTTTAGATCATGAGCTAATCAGTGTAACCAGATTTGTTAATGCAAATTTGTCACAAACTATCTGGAAATGGAAATACCCTACTTAGAATGAAACACAAAATTCTGGAACAGAGAATATAAAAAATAATCAAAGCTTACATCTCTTTTTTTTTGAGATGGAGTCTTGCCCTGTCGCCCAGGCTAGAGTGCAATGGCGTGATCTCGGTTCACTGCAACCTCTGCCTCCTGGGTAAAAGGGATTCTCTTGCCTCAACCTCCAGAGTAGTTGGGATTACAGGTGCGCGCCACCATGCCTGGCTAAGTTTTTGTATCTTTAGTAGACATGGGGTTTCACCATGTTGGCCAAGCTGGTCTTGAACTCCTGACCTTGTGATCCACCCGCCTCAGCCTCCCAAAGTGTAGGGATTACAGGTGTGAGCCACCACACCCAGCCAAAGCTTACATCTCTTTAATAACTTATGTCAAGCTTTCACAGGGTCAAAGCTATTATTGGTCGTTGTTGTTTTTTAAACACAGGAGCCACTTAAGGAAGTAAGTGGCTAATGCCATAATTGCTAGCTTCCATTGGCACTTTACATTTTACTTTCTTTTTTTTCCTGTTCTTTTTGCCTAACAAAAGTTGAATTGGGCTATGAATTGCATTAACACTTTTTAATACTAGATCAATTAAAAGTATAAATTGGGCCCTTATAAAAATACAGATTGACTTTTATTTATAGAAAAAAGAATCAGTAGCTATGAGATTTGTATTTATGTGATCTATTTAGGTTTATCATATGATGTTTATAATAAAATTAAAAACATGGTCTCAATTTGCAGTGAAGAAAAATAAGAGCCACACATACAAGGCAAAATGATTTTGTTTTTATTATAAATCACAGGGAAACATTTCTTGAAAGAATTAGAGCCTTTGACATTACAGGTCAAGTGATTATATTTCTGAGTCAATGAATAGTTTGATGCATACATTATTATTAATAATAGAAATTTCAAAACCATAGTATGTGCTACATATGGATTTTGTTTGTTCTGTTTCTAATAGCTAGAGACCAGTGCCTGAAAGAAACTCCAATTAAAACGCCAGTAAATTCAGCAGGAACAGACAAATTAATGGCAGGTGTCATTAGCCCTGAGAGGCGGTAAGTGTTCAGTTTTTTTTAGACTCTAATCTTTAGTATATGTAACAAGGTTTAAAAAAATATAGTAATAGACCTGATTAAGGTAAATCATCACATAGATTCTGTTGGAGAGTAGGAATATCTGTCTATATGTTGATGACCTGTGGCCATTCCTGGACCTGTAGCCACTGCCTTTCTTATGGGGTAGAATTGTGAAACTGATCAGCAGTCGAATGGCATCTTAAGTATGGCAGGCTGGGAGGACAGTGGCTCTCACCCCAGCCAAGTGGCTTCCTTTCTGAGGCCCATCTTACCCCTCTCTTCTGCCAGTAAAGTGTAGATATCCTCTAACAGATAGTAGTCCTCCCAAATCATAAAGTTACTCACTGGTGTTTCAAACCCCCTTTCAAGGGATTGAAAGCGATTTGGGAGGACTACCAGTGTTCCCTGAGTTGGAGTTTTGCTCTTGTTGCCCAGGCTATAGTGCAATGGCGCAATCTCAGCACACTCCAACCTCTGCCTCCTGGGCTCAAGAGATTCTTCTGCCTCAGCCTCCTGAGTAGCTTGGGATTACAGGCATGCACCACTACGCCCGGCTAATTTTGTATTTTTAGTAAAGACGGGGTTTTTCCATGTTGGTGAGGCTGGTCTTGAACTCCCAACTTCAGGTGATCCACCCACCTCAGCCATCCAAAGTGCTGGGATCACAGGCGTGAGCCACCACACCCAGCCCTATAGCAATTTCTTAAAAGCATTATCTATTTTAAAGAGAGTTTAGAGAATTAGAATGTGAACAGGGTATTAGATGTTACTATGGAACTATTACTAATTTATTGATGTGATAATGGTATTGTCTTTATGGAAGACAACGTCCTTATTCATTAGAGATGTATACTGAAGTGTTTTAGAGTAAAGTGTCATGATATCTTCAGATGAGTTACTTTCAGATGGCTTAGCAAATAAGTAAATTTCATGTACTATATACATTAAATTTATATAACGTATACAGATTTTTTGTACTATATATATAGTACATTAAATTTATATATGTATAAGTAAATTTAATGTGCTATATACATTAAATGTATATATGTATACAGATTTTTAAAAAATTTGTTAATAGATCTGATTAAGGTAAATCATCACATAGATTCTTTTGGAGAGTAAGAATATATATATATACATATAAATATAAATTTAATGTGTGTAGTACATTAAATTTACTTATTTGCTAATAAGAGAACCTGGAGGTGAAGGTTGCAGTGAGCTGAGATTGCGCCACTGCACTGTATGTAGATATATACATTGATGAATATATATCAGAATATATATCTATATACATATACACATATACATGTATACATTAATGTATTATCTGTATACATACAGAAAGCAAATGTGGCAAAATATGAACAGTTGTTGAATCTAGGAGGATATATTGGTATTCATTGTACCCTTCTTTGAACTTTTCTATATATATGACAGTTTTTAAAAAGGAAGGGGCTAAACAGTTTTGCTGAGTGCTAGTTGCATGGGGGAAGGGTGACAGCTCCTGTCCAGTGGGAGATGGCTTTGGTGCTCCCTGAGGAGGAGTGAGGTGATCTGGCCCTGGCATACCTGAGTGAGGCACCCTAATGTGTGTGAAGGGACAGAAGTCCGCCCTTGCGGGCCCCACAGGCCAGAGGCCCAGCTCTACTTGTACCTTGTTTTATGTTTTGTTTCAGGTGCCGTTCAGTGGAACTGGATCTCAACCAAGCACATATGGAAGAGACTCCAAAAAGAAAGGGAACCAAAGTGTTTGGGAGCCTTGAAAGGGGGTTGGATAAGGTTATCACTGTGCTCACCAGGAGCAAAAGGAAGGGCTGTGTCAGAGACGGGCCCAGAAGACTAAAGGTAAGCAGGCTGGAATTCTTTCATAGAGATTTCAGAAGCTGACTGCTAGTGGACTGCTTTTTTTAAAAGGTACTGAATGAATCGATTAGTATTTTTTATTTGAGTATTCACTTAGTTAATTATATGTTTTTTGAGCAGCTAAAATCTGCATGTTACTGTGCAGTGGGTAAATAGAGTCAATACCTTCAGGGAGCAAAGAGCTATCATTCAAATATTCAAGAGCAAGTGGAGGGATTAGCACAGGGGCAGCATGGAGGTGAGGAAGCAGGGGACACAGATGGAGAGCTGAGAGCTGCCTTGAGGAGGGGGACTTGAGCTTAGTTGTGTCCCTGGTTCATGGATACTTTGTAGGCCCTCATGAAATATTTAAATGCATAGGAAGATAATTGGAACTTGGAGTCTGGCGTGTGTCAGGAAAATAGTGAGTGATAAGCTAGGAAGGTAGACTGGAAGGGCATCAAGACCTGGCTAAGAAGGTCTTATTTAATATACCCAGTATGCTTTAAAAGGGTTAATGTGTCACTGGTGTGGACAATGTATTTCGTTAAGGAAGGAAAAGAAAAATATAAGCTATTAGCAGATATAAAGTACTTATTCTCTTGGATTCTCTCTGAGCATTCATTCAAATCTCTAATGAATACATTTTTATTTGGTGGAAGAGGAGGAATTTAGAGGTAAATGGATGAATGAGACACAGCCTATGTCCTTGAGGAACTCTTAGGCTGGCTGTGCAAACAGGCTGGGATCTTGTTCTGACACACTGGACTCAGTGCTGTAGTAAAAACACGTTCCAAGAGGTGTGGGCCCAGAGCTGTGGGGAGAAGATGGTAGTGTGCCCATCATTTGGGGACTGGGTCGTGCTTAGTTTTTGTGCTGAGACTCTCATAATGAGCAAATCTGGGTGGTTTGGGGGAAGGAAAATCCTAAGCTATTGGGCAGAGGGTGTTTCAGAGGAGAATGTTCCCAGGTCTCATTTGTGTTCTCTCTTAAAGTGGAAGAAGATAGAACTTATTCACTAGCATTCATTGCCTTTAACTTGTGTAGTGTACTGAGAAGTTTACATTACATATGGCTGTTTATTAGGCATATTTTATCCTTTTGTTCTGAAATTTTTCTGGTTGGAGATAGTTAAGTATTTCAAGCACTGATATTGGCATTTTAAAAAACCGATAGTACCGTTGCACTGAAAAATGTTAAATAAAATTAAGGAAACTAGTTCAACCACACACACACACCACATGCACACACACACACACTCTCTCTCTATTGAGAAGCTAAGCAGTTACCAAATACTAATGGATAATGTACTAAAAATGGTCACTTATGTAAATATTTTGGAACCTGAATGCATTTTTCAGTAGAAACTACTGTGGTGTTAGTTGGCTTTCTAGGTACTTCCCCAATACTTCCAGAATGTAGGAGAAAAACCACAAGACTGGGAATGAGAAGACCTGGGTTCTGGCTCCAGCTTTGTACTGTATAGCTTTGATAAGTCATTTTATTCCTGATCTCCTCAATTTCTTCATTTGTAAAATCTGGAAATAATGCCTCCCCTGACAGCCTCACAGGGCTGAGATGTAGAAATAAGACTCTACATACGGGGTGCTTTATGGCATATTAAATACTTCATTAGTATAAAGTGATGTTTCCAGTGTCAAAGATTATTATCAGTGTTGAGCATTTTACCCCCATATATACACCCATGGTCCTTATCAGCACAGTCCTAAGATTGAAAAATTTATCTAACTTTGGATCTTTAACCCTTTTTAATGCTTTTAAGTTTTTGCAGAACTGAAGGGCTTTCTTTGGGAAATTAACTTTGTTTCACCAACTCTGCATACTTTATTAAAAACTATAAATTTACCAGAAGAGTTGCAAGGATAGTAGAAAGAATACCTTTTTTAAGATAGGAAATTAACGCCTGTAGTCCCATCACTTTGGGAGGCCGAGGCAGGTGGATCACCTGAGGTCGGGAGTGCGAGACCAACCTGGCCAACATGGAGAAACCCTGTCTCCAGTAAAAAATACAAAATTAGTCAGGCGTGGTTGGCCGATGCCCATATTCCCGGCTACTTAGGAGACTGAGACAGGAGAATCGCTTTAACCCAGGAGGCAGAGGTTTGGTGAGCCGAGATCGCGCCATTGCACTCCAGCCTGGACAACAAGAGTGAAACTCCATCTCAAAAAAAAAGATAGCAAATTGTATGTATTCATGTCCTCTTTTAGGAAGCAGTCTATAAAAATCCGAAATTTAAGTAAAGTAGGATTAAGTCTTTATTTTACCAAAGCAGTAATTTATGTTGTGATTTGAAAGTATTCAGTTTATTATTAATATCATCTTGACAGAGCCAGTTTAGTTTAGTGAAAAGAGCCCTGGATCAGGAACCAAGTAACAGAGGATTGCTTCGTTAACACTCAGTTTCACGATGTTTGCTATATGGGAGATTGTGTACACTGTTATTTATCTGGTGTTTTCTTTATATTGACTCGTCTTTGGCACATAGATTTATAGAGATATAACTGACATATAATAAACTGCACATATTTTATTTGTTAATTTTTTGAGACAGAATCTTGCACAGGCTGCGGTGCAATGGCGTGATCGTAGCTCACTGCAGCCTCGACCTCCTGGGCGCAAGCTATCCACCTGCCTCAGCCTCCTGAGTAGATGGGACGTGTGCCACCACGCCTAGCTAATTCTTAATTTTTTGCCGAGACAAGGTCTCACTATGTTACCCAGACTGGTCTTGAACACCTGAGCTCAAGTAATCCTCTTGCCTTAGCTTCCCAAAGTGCTGGGATTACAGTCATGAGCCACCATACCTGAATAATGGTGAATATTTTAAAGTACGATTAATATGCTTTGGCATTATGTATACCACCTGTGAAACCATTACCACAATCATGATAATTTTTTAAAACTCAAATTTATTTAAAAGGAAACTATATATCATTAGGGTTTTTTGTTGTTGTTGTTAATTGTGTTTTTCTAAATCATATGGGAACAAATACATATTTAAAAATATTTATCCATGTGCCACCCAGAATCACCTTGTCTGTCTTGTATATCTTTTTTTTTTTTTTTTTTTTTTTTGGGACGGAGTTTCGCTCTTGTTACCCAGGCTGGAGTGCAATGGCGCGATCTCGGCTCACCGCAACCTCCGCCTCCTGGGTTCAGGCAATTCTCCTGCCCCAGCCCCCTGAGTAGCTGGGATTACAGGCACACGCCACCATGCCCAGCTAATTTTTTGTATTTTTAGTAGAGACGGGGTTTCACCATGTTGACCAGGATGGTCTCGATCTCTTGACCTCGTGATCCACCCGCCTCGGCCTCCCAAAGTGCTGGGATTACAGGCTTGAGCCACCGCGCCCGGCCTCTTGTATATCTTATATCACACTATGAAAAGCAGTACCTTAAGAAATTTATGGCCGGGCGCGGTGGCTCACACCTGTAATCCCAGCACTTTGGGAGGCCGAGGTGTGTGGATACCTGAGGTCAGGAGTTCCAGACCAGCCTGGCCATCATGGTGAAACCCCATCTTAAAAAAATAAAAATAAAATAAAAAAGAAATTTATTCTCTTCTTTGGGCCTGGGTTCTTATTTTGAAAAGTAAGATAGTTGGAATACTTTTCTACCCCAGCATTTTATTAATACAAAGAACTCAAACCTGAAAGACATAGAAACTATGGTTTTGTTTGACAGTGAAGATACTTACTAGGAAGGGAGGGATTTTTATGTGTCCAGGACCCACTAAAACAGTGTCTAGTACATAGTAAACTTTCAAAAAATAGTTGTTGAATGAATGAGTGATAAATACCAATTAAGAATGAAATTATCTCTGAGGATTATGCTGCCAGTCAATGAGAAAAAAATAATATGACATTACTTTTTTTAAAGGAATACCTGTTACATTTATTTCCTCTTAGAACTGTCATAAAATCAGCCCCTGGAATTCTGTAATAGTCTTTAAATAATTTTGAACAAATTAAGGAAACATATCCAACTACGTACAAAGCAAACTTTGTATGGTGTTTGTTTATCTTGCTGTGGTGTACATTTCAGGACTGTTAATGTCTCTTCCATAGTGTGGGAAGGGGAAAACAGGCAAAGCTCAAACAGATAGATGGATGCTCTTTAATCTTTATTTTTTTAAAAGGATTGGTGGGAGAGGAAGATGAAAGTATGAAAAGAGAGCTATGGGTGTGGTTACTAATAACCATCATCTCTCCAAGCTTTCCCAGTGTGCCATTAACTCACTAAGAGTTGGCTGTAAATTCCTCTGATATTTTTCTGGAAATAGTTCCATTTGAAAAGATACTATATTGAGGAGTTTTGGAATTCTTGATGTGGCGTGATTGTCTTTGTCTTTTGTTGATGTTAAAATTTACTTCTCATCTCTTCTTTTTCTTTTTTAAGCTTCACTATAATGTGACTACAACCAGATTAGTGAATCCAGATCAACTCTTGAATGAGATAATGTCTATTCTTCCAAAGAAGCATGTTGACTTTGTACAAAAGGGGTGAGAAGCACATTTACAAGCTGTTGCATTTATTAGTTTCTTTTGGACTTTGAGAAAATAGGGTTTGATTGGGCGTGGTGGCTCACGCCTGTAATCTCAGCACTTTGGGAGGCTGAAGTGGGCAGATCATTTGAGGCCAGGAGTTCAAGATCAGCCTGGTCAATATGGAGAAACCTCGTCTCTACTGAAAATACAAACAATTAGCTGGGCATGGTGGCACATGCCGGTAGTCCCAGCTGCTTGGAAGGCTGAGGCATGAGAATCACTTGAACCCGGGAGGTGGAGGCGGCAATGAGCTGAGATCACACCACAGCACTCCAGTGTGGGCAACAGAACTAGACTCTGTCTCAAAAATACCAAAGAGAAAATGGGAATTGATCTCCCCACCCCCGTGCTTTAGAAAAAATGTATTTCTCCCACCTCATTCCCAAAAGCTTTTAAGGTAGTGTCATTGCTTATAATTTATTCTCTTTTGTTTGGTTCAAGCAATAAAAGTTTTAGAAGCACAGACATTGTCCCACTTTCAAAGTTAGACTTTTTGTTGTTGTTGTTGTTGAAGTCTCGCTGTGCTTCCCAGGCTGGAGTGCAGTGGCATGATCTCAGCTCATTGCAACCTTCGACTCCCGAGGAGCTAGGATTGCAGGCGTGTGCCACCACTCTTGGCTAATTTTTGCATTTTTTTTAGTAGAGACGGGGTTTCACCATGTTGGTCAGGCTGGTCTTGAACTCCTGACCTCATGATCCACCCACTTGTCCTCCCAAAGTGCTAGGATTACAGGCGTGAGCCACTGTGCCCGGCCCAAACTTAGACTTTTTATTTCAAAATAGGAAAATTCAAAATTCTTTTTTTTTTTTCCCCCGTTTATTTTATTGCATTTTAGGTTTTGGGGTACATGTGAAGAATATGCAAGATTGTTTCATCAAAATTCTTCTGGATTTCTTTTAGAGCCTCTATTTTCCTTTGATTTTCTGCTTTACAATAATGTTTATAAATTATAATAGAAATTTGTGAGACATTTCAAACAAATCAGGGATTTATATAGAATCCTTCTCTTCATGACTGGCTGTTTTACAGGGCTGGGTTTTCAGTGCTTTAGGAAGTTTTTTCACCTTAACTGTCTCCTGCTGTTGAAGGAGCTGCCATCAAAGGTGCCTTGTTATGATCTCCAGGTTTCAATAGCCAGGCCTCTTCTGGTTACCCAAGGTGTCCATATTTCTAAGCATTTCTATTCAATTATTTCTCTTTAAAATTTCTTAATTAAGGCAGCCAGTAGAGACACACATGGATTTAAACATGTAATAGAACAGGTCAATATGGAGTGAAATTTTAAGAAACAAGCTTGTGCAGATATAATTTTACTTTCTACTTATCTGTAAATGTTGGCAAGCATTCCTTCTATGAACCCTGGCATTCCTCTTGGGCTTCATTAGAACACATCTCTCTCACTCTGATCTCTTCATGCCTGGGCTTACGATAGCCATATCTCTGTCACAGGCCTCTCAGTGATCTGTTATCTTCCATGTGGCTAAATTGTTCTATGCTTCATCTTCCTGTCAAGAATCTTCACTACAGGGTGCTCCTTTTGGCATTTCTGATGTTGACTGCTTATTTTTGCGAGATCAAGCCTCTTTCCCAAAACACATGACTAAGTAAGAAAAAGAATATTTTGGTATGTAACAGTATGAAACAGAAGAAAGTACATAGCAGAAACAATGTAACTTCTCCACACATCTGTGGAACAGCACCCAATCAGGAAACCTTAAGTATTTAGGGAATTGAAAGTTAAAATCAGTCCTATTTATTGAAGATTAGTAAGACAAATAAAACCCTAAAATAGAATGTAAATGAATTAAAAATTATTTACAGGAATTAAATTTATGCAACTTTTCAAGATCTTACGTATGTCTTAAGATGAGTTTCAGGCTTCATTTTGACTGGGCCTTTCCATTCTCCGAGTGGATAATGGGACAGTTCTAGCTATAAATGCCATACATTTCAGTTATGGGAACATACCATCTCATAACCTCTTGTTACTAATTAGAAAAACCTCAAAAACACACGTGCCTTTCTAACAGGTTAGTGGCTTCAGCTTTATTTATATGATAGAAGTTTCTGACAAGTCTCACACACACGATATATTATTTATCTTTCTTACACTTTCCTCTGTAGTGAATGTTGTAGAAATGCCCGGTGCTCACAGATTACACCGTTGAAAGGGTTGTATAAAGAACGCCAGATTTTTTGAGCATGAATGGCATGTATAGGTATGAAAGAGTGGCTTTTCTCTGGAGCAAGGGAGAATTCTAATAAAGCCTTTTCATGCTTATTCTTAGGATCCTAGTTCAGCTTCTGGTAAAACACCAGTCATACTCTTACTAAAGCATAGCTAGGTCATTTGGAAACTGTAAACAGTAATATATTGCTTAATATGAAATAGTGGTTCATTTCCTCCACGGCCTCCTAAAGGCTTAGAAAACTCTTAACGCAGAATATGGTTCTGCCACTAACTAGCTTCTTATCTTGTTTTTCACAGCTATACACTGAAGTGTCAAACACAGTCAGATTTTGGCAAAGTGACGATGCAGTTTGAACTAGAAGTATGCCAGCTTCAAAAACCTGATGTGGTGGGCATCAGGAGGCAGCGGCTTAAGGGCGATGCCTGGGTTTACAAGAGATTAGTGGAAGACATCCTATCTAGCTGCAAAGTATAACTGATGGATGCCTCCATCCTGCCGGATGAGTGTGGGTGTGACACAGTCTACATAAAGACTGTTATGATCTCTTTGATTTTAAAGTTCGTTGGAACTACCAACTTGTTTCTAAAAGAGCTATCTTAAGACCAGTATCTTTTTGTTTTTAGACAAAAGATATTATTTGTGGATGAATCTAAGGCAAGTCCATCTGTCATTATCTGTTACTGTCTTTTTTAATCATGTGGTTTTATATATTAATAACTGTTGACTTTCCTAGGTTCACTTTCATATGTGAATGTAAGCTCTTAACTATGTCTCTTTTTAATGTATAATTTCTTTCTGAAATAAAACCATTTGTGAATTTAGCAGTCTTTTCTTCTTTGTATTTGATTTTGATCCAAATAAAACCTCAAATGGCTCCCTGACTATTAAGTAGAGACTATTTGGAATATGTTTTATCTGTTATCAAATATGCCTTGGGCAGAAAAAACAGATAAGAATTCATTTGCATAATTTTTTCCTGTCTCTGATTTAAGTAGGATTTATTGAGATCGTTAAGTAAGTCACAGCTGTGGTTACCAGAGTTAAACAACACATTTAATATGTTGAATAAAAGAATATCATCTTCAGTAAGTATGTTCGTTCAACAAATGATAAGTATCCGAACTATGAACCCCCCCTGAAATGTTACTTTATGGTAATTTCCTTAATTCTCAATGTTGGCCCCAAATTTTTATTTTTATTTCATTTTATTGGTCTCCAGAGGCTAGAACTCAAGTTATATTTGTATGGATTTCACCAATTAAACTAGTTGGAGGAAAAATAGCACTCCTTCTGGTCAGTAGTGAAGGGAATGTTTTATCATTCATTTATTCAATAAATGTTTACTAAGTGCTCACAAGCATTAGGTCCTGGGACTGAAGCTGCTACTCTCTAGTAACCCCAAGAAGTTCAGAATATATTCACAGGATCAGATGATATTTGTAGCATTTGTTGCCTAGGCTGATCTCAAACTCTTGATCTCAAGCAGTGTTCCCACTTCAGCCTTCCAAAGTGCTGGGATTACAGGCATGAGCTACCATCCCAGCTTGGGAGCATGACATTTTTGACAGAACAATATGTGCAAAGACAGGGAATTATAAAATGTCATTATGTATTTGGGGTAGAAGCAGAAGATGTTGGAAGCGGAAAATGATAGGAGATGAGGGTTGAAAGTTTAGATGGAAATAAGTCATGAAAGTACTTGAATGCCCCATTAGAGTAAGTGTTTTGGCAAAGGAGAGCTGTCAAAGAGTTTTTAATTTTTTAACAATAGCTTTATTAAGATATAATTCACATATTGTTAAGATTTACCCCTTTAAAGAATGTACAGTTCAGTGGGGTTTTTTAAAAGTATATTCAGGCTGAGTGTGGTGGCTCATGTCTGTAATGTCAGCACTTTGGGAGGCTGAGATGGGTGGATCACCTGAGGTCAGGGGTTCGAGACCAGTCTGGTGCCAACAAGGTGAAAGCCCGTCTCTACTAAAAATACAAAAAAGGTATCTGGGTGTGGTGGGGTGTGCCTGTTATCCCACCTACTTGGGAAGCTGAGGCAGGAGAATCACTTGAACCTGGGTGGAGGTTGCAGTGAGCCTAGCTTGTGCCACTGCACTCCAGCCTGGGCGACAGAGTGAAAGTCCGTCTCAAATAAATAAAAGTATATTCATAGTTGTACAGCCATCACCACAGTGTAATTTTAGAACATTTTTATAATCTCTAATGGAAGCTCCATACCCATTAGCAGTCATTCCCCATTCCCCACCACCCATCTGCTGTCCACCACTTACCTACTTTCTGTTTCTATGGATTTGGCCGGTGTGGGCATGTCATATAAATGGAATCATGTAATATAGGACCTTTAGGGTTTAGCTACTTTTACTTAGCATAAAATTTTCAAGATTTAGCATGTTGTAGCATGTATCAATACTTCATTTTATAGCTGATAATATTCCGTTATATGGATATATCACATTTTATTTATCACTTGATAGACATTTGGCTAGTATGTCTATCAAACATTCGTAATAGCCAGTGGAGATATTTAGCCATTTCCACTGGCTATTATGAATGCTGCTGTGAATGCTTGTATACAAGTTTTGTGTGAACATATGTTTTCATTTCTCTTGTGTATATACCTAGGAGTGGAATTGCTGGGTCATTTGACGTTTTGAGGAGCTATCAAACTTTTTCCAAAGCCACCGCACCATTTTATGTCCCACCAGTGATGTGAGCGTTCTAGCTTTTCGTATTCTATCAAGACTTGTTATCTGTCTTTTTTTAATTTTAGCCATCCTGTCATTGTGATTTTGATTGTCTTTTCCCTAATGATTAATAATATAGAGCAGCTTTTAATATGCTTTTGGCCATTTCTATATCTTTTTTGGAGAAATGTCTATTCAGATCCTTTGCACATTTTAAATTGGATTGTATTTTTATTGTTGAATTGTAAGAGTTCTTTATATATTCTAGATATGTTACCAGCTACATGATAATATATATATAATATTTAATATATTATATGGAAATGTTTTTTTCCATTCTGTGGTCTTTTTAACTTTCTTGATAGTGTATTTTGAATAAGATTATTTTTTAATTTTCTGAAGTCCCATTTACCTATTTTTATAAAATAGTATGATTAATCTTCTATCCCTATGGGAGGTTGCGTGGTCTGGAACAGTGATTCTCAAAAAATTTTGTCCATTAACCACAGCAAGCAGCAAGTACACATGATGGAAGCACTTACATTAGTAAGCATTAGTAGTAGCAATCTCATTTGGCTTTAATTCATGTTTCCCTAATGACTTTGGGATCCATCACATGTAAACATATATGAAACACTGCTTAGCCTTACTATAAGTGACAACATATTCTATTTTCTCTTATAAATATCTAGTCTGACAATTGTAATCTTTAAATTGGAGTTCTTTAGTACATTTACTTTAAAATTAAAATCCTTTTAGGGGATCAGGTTTATTGAGATACGATTTACATAAAGTGGAATTTACCCTTTTTAGGTGTACACTTTGAGAGTTTTGATGAATATATGTAGTCGTGTAACTACCACCATAGTTGAAATTAGAACGTTTCCATCATCCTAAAAAGTTTGATCTTGCTCGTTTATAGACAATCCTTCCATCTCCCAGTCCCTGGAAATCACTGATCTGACTTCCATCTCTATAGTTTTTTTCTTTTTTTTCTGGAATATTATATAAGTGAAATCATTTACTACATGGGACTTTTGGGTATAATTTCTTTTCACTTAGCGTGATGATTTTGAGTCTTAACTGTGTGATTGTCTATATTAGTAACTCATTTTTTATTGTTGAATAATAGTTTGAATAATATTGTTGACAGTAGTCAATTGGAAATACCAAAATTTGTTTATTCACCAGTTAACGGACTTTTGAGTTTTCACTTTTGGGCTATTCTGCTGCTGTATTCATCCATGTGCAGGTTTTACTGTATGCACGTGTTTTCACTTCACTTGGGTAAATATCCAGGAATGGAATTAATGGATCCTGTGGTCAGTGTATTATTTGTAGAAGAAACTACCAACAGTTACTAGCACATATGTGCGGGGTTTTTTTTGTTTTGTTTTGTTTTCGAGACAGAGTCTCCCTCTGTTGCCCAGGCTGGAGTGCAGTGGTGCAATATCGGCTCACTGCAACCTTCACATCCTGCCTCAGCCTCCCAAGTAGTTGGGACTACAGGCATGTGCCACCACATCCAGCTAATTTTTGCATTTTTAGTACAGGCAGGGTTTCATTATGTTCGTCAGGTTGGTCTCAAACTTTTGATCTCAAGTAATCTGCCCACCTTGGCCTCCCAAAGTGCTGGGATTACAGGCATGAAGCCACCACGCCCAGCCTGATTCTTTTTTTAAGTCATGTCAGGAAAAATATTGATTCTTTTGATCCGTGAACATAATATTTGGTTGCCTTTAATTTGTCTCATCAGTGCTTCCATGTGTTTTTGATGCCTTTGAACTGGTATTTTTAAAATTTCAATTCCTAATTGTTCATTGTAGAAATACAATTGGGTTTTATATATTGGCATTGTATTTTGCAACTTTTTAAAACTCACTATTCTAGTAGCTTTTTTGGCTGATTCTTAAGGGTTTTCTGTGTAAATAGTCATGTCATTTGTGAATAAAGCCATTTTCTTTTTTCCTTTTTAAATTTTGTGCCTTTTATTTCTTTTCCTTACCATATCACATTGGCAAAGACCTTCAGTATGATGTTGCATAAATGTAGTGAGAGAAGACATTCCTGCCTTGTTCCTGATCTTACGGGGAAAGAGTGAGCCTTTTACCTTTAGGTACAATGTTAACAGCTGTTTTTTCATAGATGTTTGCTATCAGTTCCATGAAGAGCCCTTCTATTCCTAGTTTGTTTTGATTTTTGTTTATGAATGAATGCTGAACTTGGTCATATCCTTTTTCTGTATCAAGATGATTACATGGGTTTTCTCTTAAATTTGTTTCATATAGTGAATTACAACTAATTTACTTTTAATATAATTACTTATATAGTTGAATTTACAGCTGCCATTTTACTATTTATTTTCCTTTTTTCCACCTATTTGATATTCATCTTTCCTTGTCTTTCTTTAATTAAAATACTTTATATTATTTTAGTATTCGCTATCTATTAACATGTTGTACATTGTTTGCTCCTTTGTTAGTAATCATGCTAGATTTTAACGTGCGTGGTTTATTATAGTCTACCATAGCATTTTCCAAACAAAGAAAACATTTTCCAATAGTTTAAATACATTACCCGCTTCTGTATTTTGCATTATTATTGTCTGCATTTTAAATTTCAAAAGACATTGCAGTTACTGTGTTTTACAATTAGTATTCATTTATATTTACTCACCCATTTACCCTTTTCATTGCCTTTGATTTCTTCCTGGATTTTGTGTTTTTATTGCCTTTCACCTTTGCTTAAACAACTCCATTATATATGGATTTTAGTGCAGGTCTGCCAGTGGGGTGCATTCTCATTTTGTTTGTCTAAAGACATTTTTATTTTACTTTCATGTTAAAAAGATTTTCCCACTAGGAATAGAATTCTAGATGGGCAAGTTTGCTTTCCTGCCTGTTCTTTCAGCATTTTAAAGATGCCATTGCATTGTCTTCTGGTTTTAATCATTTCTTTTGATAAATCAGCTGTCAGTTTTATTGTTGCTTTTTTTTTTTTTTTTAAGAGTCAGGGTTTCACCATGTTGGCCAGGGTGGTCTCGAACTCCTGACCTCAGGTGTCCACCCTCCTCGGTCTCCCAAAGTGCTGGGATTACAGGTGTGAGCCACCACTCCCGGCCTATTTTTGCTGCTTTGAAAGTAATGTTTATTTTCCTCTGGCTGCTTAAAAAATTATTTGTTTTTGGTTTGTTTGTTTTGTTTCTTGGAATTTGTGCTGGTTGGAGTTTGTTGAGAGACTTGAATCTTTATGTTGATGTCTTTTATCAGTTTTGAAATATTCTCTACGGTTACCTCTTCAAATGCTGCTTCTGCTTCATTCTTTTCCTTCTGAGACTTGACTCATATGTAAGTTAAACCTTTTCCTTGTGTCTCACATGCTTTTATTCCCTTTTGTATGTTTTCCACTCTTTGTGTGCTTCGGTTTACTTAATAATGTGTCTTCTAGCTCATTAATTTTGTCTTCTTGTTGTGCCTAATCTGCAGTCATACTTACGTATTGATTGTTTTTTTAATGGAGTCTTTCTAGACACTGAAAAAGATTATTTCTTTTTTAAAATTGTAAATATTTTGTTTTTAAAAATGTTTTTAAGAGATGGATTTTCACTCTATTGCCCAACGGGTCTTTAAATCATGGGCTCAAGTGATCCTCCTGCTTCAGCCTCCTAAATAGCTGGGATTGCAGGTGTGCATCACTGCACCTGGCTTATATCGATTCTTCAGTGTGGTTATTGTATTTTTAACTTTAAAGTCTTTATTTGATTTAAAAAAAATTTCAGTTCTCTAGTGAAATTTGTCATCATTTCGTCTCTTCATTTTGTCTTCTGTTTTCTTGGACATAAATCTCAGCAATTTTTAAAATGTCCTTGTCTAATAACTCCAGTTTCAGAATCACCTGTGGGTAAATTTTTATTGTGTATTTTTTCCTTTTATTTTTCTACATGATTCTTAGAATGTCTGGTGATTTTTACTGAATGCTAGATACTATATATTAAAAACTGTTAAAGCTTCAGATAGTATCTTCCTCAAGGAGAATTCAGTGTTTCTCTGTCAGGCAGAGAGGGTCAACGGTGATCAAATTAATTCCATCGGTACTGAACTGATGTTTTCAATTGAACCAGGGCTTTCAACTGAGAGTCTGCTGCATTTATCAGGATCCGTGCTCCCAACAGGTCCTGAAAGATATCTAAGTTTTACCTCCTCAACACTACAAGATTGTGGAAAACTGCTTTTGGTTAGTTTTTGGCTTAATTTTTTGCTTCCAGCTTTACACACTTCAGGATGTCTTGGGGAAACTACGTGTTTGAGGCTCCTCAAGTCTCTAGTTTTGTTACTGTAGTCCTGCACAAACATACAAAGCTCTGCTGTTTCTCTGGTCCTGGGCAGTGTCCCTCTGTCTGGATAAAGCCTGGGGTCACCTCTCTGCATGTCTCCCCTCTCCAGCATTTTGGCTGTTAATCTTCGTTGCTTCAGTAGCTAGCTCCCTGATGCTTTTGAACAAACTTTAAAAATTTTTTTTAATATTTAATTTTTATTTGACTAGTTTTTGGGGAACAGGTGGTTTTTGGTTACATGGATTTTTTTCTAGTGGTGATTTCTGAGGTTTTGGTGCACCTGTTAACCAAGCAGTATACACTATTCCCAACATGTAGTCTCTTAACCCTCACCCCGCTCCCACCTTTCCCACTGAGTCCCCAAAGTTCATTATAACATTCTGGTGCTTTTGCATCTTCATAGTTCAGCTCCCACTTATAAGTGAGAACATATATTTGGTTTTCCATTCATGAGTTACTTCATTTAGAATAATCGCCTCCAGCTCCATCCAGGTTGCTGCAAAAACATTTTTTCATTCCTTTTTGTGGCTGAGTAGTATTCCATGGTATATATATACCACATGTCTTTATCCACTGGTTGGTTGATGGGCACTTATGTTGGTTCTATATCTTTGCAATTGCGAATTGTGCTACTATAAACGTGTGTGTATGTTTCATTTTCATAGAATGATTTCTTTTCCTTTGGGAAGATACCTAGTGGGATTGCAGAAACAAATGGTAGTTCCACTTTTAGCTCTTCAATATATGTCTCTACTGTTTTCTATAGTAGTTTGAACAAACATTCTTTCTTTTTTTTTCTTTGAGACAGAGTCTTGCTCTGATGCCCAGGCTGTAGTGCAGTGTTGTGATTTTGGCTCACTGCAACCTCTGCCTCCTGGGTTTAAGGAATTCTTCTGCCTCAGCCTCCCGAGTAGCTGGGATTACAGGTGCCCACCACCACGCCTGGCTGATTTTTGTATTTTCAGTAGAGACAGGGTTTCACCATATTGGCTGGCCTCAAACTCCTGACCTTGTGACCTGCCCGCCTTGGCCTCCCAAAGTGCTGGGATTACAGGCATGAGTCACCATGCTCCGGGCTTTTTTTTTTTTTTTTTTTTTTTTTTGAGGTGGAGTCTTGCTGTGTTGTCCAGGCTAGAGTGAAGTGGTGTGATCTCAGTTTACTGCAACCTCTGCCGCCTGGATATAAGTGATTCTGCTGCCTCAGCCACCTGAGCAGCTGGAATTACAGGTGCGTGCCACCATATCAGGCTAAGTATTGTATTTTTAGTAGAGATGGGGTTTCACCATGTTGGCCAGACTGGTCTCGAACTCCCGACCTCAGGTGATCCGCCTGCCTTGGCCTCCCAAAGTGCGGGGATTACAGGCGTGAGCCACTGCGCCCGGCTGAACAAACATATTTTAATACTTTTTTTTCTAGTTCTTTGCAGGACCGTTAATCTGCCACAGACTATTCTATCCTACTTTGAGGGAGAAGTCTACTTTATTCTTAAATACACAGATTAAGGCTTACTCAGTTTATTTTATGACACATTGATTAATTGCAACCTGCAGTTTATGAAATGCATAAAGGATAAATGTAGTGACACAAATCCAGGAGATGGGTAGCATTATCAGATATTGGGAAGTGTTTAGTTGTCAATGGGGAATGAGATGGTGGAATGAAGAATGTGCTGATGTTTCTGGCCCAGACATCCAGGTGGATAGGCAAGCCATTTATCAAGATGAAGTAATAAAACAGGAGAGGGCTCTATTTTAGAGAGTTGAGATTAAATTTACTTTTGCACACATTGAGTTTGAGATACCTATGTGATATCCAGGTGGACATTTCTGATATGCAGAAAGAAATACTTATTTGGAATCCAAGAGAGAGATGGGAGATGGAGCTGTGAATTTGTTACTCATTAGTGGATAGGTAGAAGTTTTCAAATCAATTTTACTCATTTTTTAGTTTATCACATCAATTCAGCTGACAAATGCTATTCTACTACCCATCAGACTGGATCAAGTAAAAATAGGCACTGTGCTAATTAGGCTAAATCTTTTCTTTTTGTTTTAGGTAGAGTTTCTGTCACCCAGGCTGGAGTGCAGTGGCATGATCTCAGCTCACTGCAACCTCCGTCTCCTGGATTCCAGCAATTCTCTTGCTTCAGCCTCTGGAGTAGCTGGGATTATAGGCACATACCACCAGGCCTAGCTAGTTTTTGTATTTTTTTAAGTAGAGACAGGGTTTCACCATGTTGGCCAGGCTGGTCTCGAACTCCTGACCTCAGGCGATCCACCCACCTCTACCTCCCAAAGTGTTGGGATTACAGGCATAAGCCACCATGCCCAACCTAAATCTTTTCTTTAAGGAAAATAAAACGTCAATGGCTGCCATGTCATCTAAAACCTATCAGTTCTGATTCTGTAGAATCAAGATGTTATATAGATATGAGTTAAGTAAACGAGGGTGGGCTAGTTCCTAAGAGGCAAATATGATCAGGTTGCTGGCACTAAACTAAATCCGTAGAGTTGTAAGTCTGCCCCATCATCTGCTGCCAGCCACACTTAGGCTTCTTTGTAGGGCATTTAGAAATTTTATAGCCAGAGGAAGGCAGCATGAAGAGATGATAAGGGAACTTATGGCTGAAGAAATTAAAGGTTTGGATCCTGAAAAAACTCAGGGCATTACCCTCAAATAGCTAAATGACTGTCACATGTGGGAGATTTGGGGCCTTTTTTTGGATGACAGTAGCAAGCTGTATTAGGGTTCTCTAGAGGGATGGAACTAATAGAATATATGTGTGTATATATATATATATATATATATATATGTTTATTAAGTATTAATTCACATGATCACAAGGTCTCACAATAGGCTGTCTGCAAGCTGAGGAGCAAGGAGAGCCAGTCTGAGTCCCCAAATTGAAGAACCTGGGAGTCTGATGTTCCAGGGCAGGAAGCATCCAGCACAGGAGAAAGATGTAGTCTGGGAGGCTAGGATCGTCTAATCTTTTCACGTTTTTCTGCCTGTTTTATATTCTAGCCTTGCTGGCAGCTCATTAGATGGTGCCCACCCAGATTAAGGGAGGGCCTGCCTTTTTCAACCCACTGACTCAAATGGTAATCTCTTTTGGCAATACGTTCACAGATGCCCGGGATCAATACTTTGCATCCTTCAATCCAATCAAGTTGACACTCAGCATTAATCATCACACAAGCTATGTAAGTCCAGCGAGAAGTTGGAGGTAGAGGTTGTATCTTATTCATCTTTGTGTTTCCAGCATGTAGTAGAGTCTGGATCACATCAGAGGCTCAGCATATGCTCATAAAGTTGAACCACATTGAACTTGAGTTCACACTGAAAGGCTCTCAGCGGCGCTCAAAGCTACCTGACAAGAGAAAGAGCTGCTTATACAGTGGTTTCCTTGTTGGGTTGTTGGGTTGTTCAGACATGTTGGACAGCCATTCATGGGATATTGTCATAGAAGGGATTTAAGTATTGGACTAAATCCCATTGTCTTAAAAGCTTCCTTTAACCTTAACATCTGTGATCCAGTAACAATATGGAAGATAATGGATCTATTATTTGAGTGTTTGTTGGCTGTAATAGGGAGAAATAAAATAATGATCACAGTAGCAATCAAATGTTGAGTGCCCCCTATGTGCCAGACACTATTGCTGAATAATATATATCAAGGAGCAGCAAGCTATGGCCTGTGGGCCAGCCTGTGGCCTCTTTTTGTGACTTTTTATTGGAACATAACCTTATTCACATTGTCTGTGACTGCTTTTGTGCTACAGGGGCAGAATTGAGTAGTTTTGACGGAGACTGTAAGACCTGCAAAGTATAAAGTATTTACTATTTGAACCTTCACAGAAAAAGTTTGCTGACCCCTGATTTAGGTAAGTATAACAACTCTGCATATTATACATATTAACTCATTAATCTTTACATTAACTCTGCAAGATAGATGGTGTCCTTTTTTTTTTTTTTTTTTTTTGAGACAAACTCTCTTTCTGTTACCAAGGCTGGAGTGCAGTCACAGGATCTTGGCTCACTGCAACCTCCGCCTCCTGGGTTCAAACAATTCTCCTGCCTCAGCCTCCTGAGTAGCTGGGACCACAGGCACGTGCCACCACACTTGGCTAATTTTCTGTATTTTCAGTAGAGATGGGGTTTCATCATGTTAGCCAGGATGGCTTAATCTTCTGACCTCATAATCTGCCTGCCTCAGCCTCCCAAAGTGCTGGGATTACAGACATGAGACACCATGCCTTGCCTGGTGTTCCTTTTTACCGAAGAGGAAGCTCAAGCTCATGGAGGCAAAGTAATAACTCTCAAGGTCAAAGAACTTATAAGTGGTTTGGATTGGAACCAGGTATGGGAAGCTCCAAAGTCCATGTTCTTTTTTATACTAGAAATAGAAGTTTTACCTCTCCTGAAATCGTACCATATATGAAAGCATGATTATATATATTTATTAAGACATTGCCTTTTATAGCAGCAATCTTATACAGCTGTTTAAGTATAGGAAAACTTCACCAATACAGACCAGATTACTGTGTATTTACTGCAGTTGAGAGTTATGTGATTCTTTTTTTTTTGAGACGGAGTTTCGCTTTTGTTACCCAGGCTGGAGTGCAATGGCGCGATCTCGGCTCACCGCAACCTCCGCCTCCTGGGTTCAGGCAATTCTCCTGCCTCAGCCTCCGGAGTAGCTGGGATTACAGGCACACGCCACCATGCCCAGCTGAATTTTTGTATTTTTAGTGGAGACGGGGTTTCACCATGTTGACCAGGATGGTCTCCATCTCTTGACCTCATGATCCCCCTGCCTTGTCCTCCCAAAGTGCTGGGATTACAGGCGTGAGCCACTGCGCCCGGCCTAGTTATGTGATTCTTATTTGTAAAAGTAAGAAGTTCAAAGTGTTTTCCTCTGAATAAGGATATAGTCTACCAAGAAAATAATCAAGACTTTCAGCTTCTAGGTTCCACTGTAATTTCATGCATTTTAAAGAACTTTCTGTTGTTGTTATGTAATATAGGACCTACAGCATTACGTAATTTAAAAAAGAAAACTTTATTCTTTGCAATGATTTATAATTAAATATTTATTAATAGTTGTGAGACTAATCTCTTTACAAACTAGAGAGATTTGTGATAGTCTTAAAAAATGATGTAATTTAAGTATATATGAATTCATTGATTTAGATTGTCCCATAAGCTTCCTGAAGAAAAATATAAAACTTTTCCAATTCTTTCCCTCTTCTCTGAAGAGAGAAGATATGCTTCTATTCATTATTTTCTTTTCAGTAGATTTGGGATCACACTATGTTGGCCAAGCTGGTCTTGAACTCCTGGCCTCAAGTGATCCTCCCATGTCAAAATGCTAGGATTACAGTTGTGAGGTACCGAGCCCAGTCCTGATGATTTACATAATTATTATTGACTCTGAGATATGTATATATATATTTGAATAAAGACCCTGGGACCCTTCTGCAAGCAAAATAGTAAAGCTGCACTGAAGAGCAGATTTAGCAGAGAGTAGCAGAAAGCACCGCACAAGGAGTCTGAAGACTTAACTTCTAGTTCTGACTCCCACTTACTATCTATAAAATCTCAGATATCTAAAATCTCCTTAGGAGAGCTCACCTCTCTCCTAACCATCAATTTTCTCATATTCATAATGGAATAATAATAATATCTTGTCAAATAAGATAGTAGATACAATGATCTTTTAGAAACCATGAAGACAAAAATGATCAAGACATCTGGATATCAGGTGGTGGTATTAGTAGTTTTGTTGTTGTGGGTTTATTTGTATTACACAACAGATCTGGGGTGCCCGTTGCCAAGTGTGGGGGCAGAGCCTACTGCAATAAATGTCGAGTGTGCCTCTCTGATAGACTGTGGTACAGACACAGATGCGATGTCACTGCTCTTTTCCTAGGTAGATGTATTCTAGCCGGGGCCTTTTCTGGCTGGCCCAATACTCATCAAGCAGGCTCCACATCAGGATTTGGAGTGAACCTTGGCAGAGATTTAACTTGTTTCTGAGTTAAAGGAATTGAAAGAAGCTGTGGGAAAGGTATGAGAGACTCTGGAAAATGGATTGAAATGAAGGTACTGTGATATTAAGTCCTGTGTTCATTGGTATTCCTAGAGTATTGGAGTATTGTTTTGGAGTGTAAGGTGTTGTGACGCACCTTTCTTTGGAGAGTAAGTTTATTGCAAGAACTGCCTTTCACAGAATTCCTGTTCACTACCATGGCAAAATGTCCTATCCCCACTGCCACGTCTAACAGTATTTGGAGTAATCAAACAGTAAGCAAGAGGCTGAAGGTTAATGTATTAAAATGATGTGATTCAGTGCCTTCGATGTTTCCGACTCTGTAATGAGGCATCTAGAGCACATACTATAAGCAGGAGGGTGAGATGATGGCGATGGTTAACATGCAAGTGTGAACTGCTGAACCCTGAGAAGGTTTGTTTATTCTGGCATCAATAGGGATACAGATCCTCAGAACCCAGGTGACTTGATGATGTTGTTGGGAAAATAGTAAGAAGCTAAGGAAACTTCAAAGAAAATGGATTAGACAGGAAATTGTGACTGGAATGCAGAGAATGTAGGATAGTGGAGATTGGAAGGACCTCAGAATAAGGACCTGAAAGAAAGAGCACAAGCCTGCTCTAGGAAAACCTGATGGCCAGGTAGTGGCTACACAGGTATCTGGTTCAACCAGATGTCAAAAGGCAGAGTACCTCCTATACAAATAGAGGATCCAGCACCATCAACGTTCAGAGTGGTTCTGTATCAGTCTTGGATCTTCAGATAAACTGCGGCAAGAAGACTTACCCCTATGCAGGAGGGCCTAGGGGAAGAGTTCATGCCCCTGACAGGTGAATAGTTTGAGGTGTCTGGAAGGTCTGGTCTGGGCTTTAACCTGGTGCTTGTTAAAGGATCCCACCTTTAACAAGCACCAGGTTAAAGCCCAGACCAGAGCTTCGAGGTCCCCAAAACTGTCATCTCTAGAAATGAGTTTGATTATAAGGGTCTCAGGGGAGGAGAGGAGCATGTTGAGAGGTGAAAGAATTCAACAGTTACTTGGATGCCCCCCTTAACCCTTGGATGGTCAGCTGTTACCTGAAAGCATTAAAGTAACAGGAGGATCATTTGACTGTGGGTGAATCCTTCCCTTAGTCCTATACTTTTTGTGCCTTGGGAGCTATCTGCCCTCGGACTGATGTTTGAGGAGTATGGAAACAGAATGACAGGGTGAGGAGAATGAAATGTCAAAACTGGGTGTAATGCTGGCTCTCCCTTGTTAGACACATGACCTTGAGGAAGTCGCTGTATCCTTCTAATTGCTTTAGTTTCATTGATGTGAAACTAATGCCTGTAAGACAATAATTTTATAAAGAAGAAGTTAGAATGTCTAGAAATGTCCTGTAAATGACCTGAATTAATGTATATGAGTCATAGAATTTTGCACAAAATGGATGTTTTAAAAAATGCACTGGGAGCTGGCTTAACATCTAAAAATAAGTTAATGTAATGTACCACTTTAAGAGAATAAGAGACAAAAAAACCCCTACATGATCATTTCGATAGATGCGGAAAAGAATTGACAGAGTCCAACACCCTTCTGTGATAAAAATAATCAACAAACAAGGAATAGGTGGGAACTTCCTCAACCTGAAAACTCAAAGTTAGGATCATACTTCATGGTGAAAGATTGGATGCTTTTACTCTATGATCAAGTACAATACAAGGATGTCTGCTCCTGCCACTTCTGTTTAACATTGTACTAGAAGATCTAGCCAGGGCAATTAAGCTAGAAAAAGAAATAAAAGTCATCCATATTGGAAAGAAGAAATAAAACTATCTCTATTTGCAGATGACATGATCTTGTATATATAAAACACTAAGGAATACACACATACCAAAACAAAAAAACTGTTAGAACTAATAAGTTTAGCAAAGTTGTGGGATTTAAGGTCAATATATAAAAATGAATTTTGCTTCTATACACTAACAATGAGTAATCTGAAAATGAAATTTAAAAAACAAGAAAGAAAAATACTTAGGAAAAAAGTTTAACACATGTACAGTGAAAACTACAAAACATCACTGAAAGAAATAACTCAATAAATGGAAAGACATCCCATGTTCATGGATTGGAAAACATACTATTGTTAAGATGGCAGTGCTGTCCAAACTGATCTACAGATTCAGTGCAATCCCTATCAAAATCCCAGCTGTGTATTGTTGTTGTTTTTAACAGAAATTGACAAGCTGATTCTAAAATTAATATGAAAATGCAAGGACCCACAATAACCAAAACAACCTTGAAAAGGAACAAAGTTGTTGGAGGACTGACACTTCTCAGTTTTAAAATTTACTACAAAGCTACAGTAGTAAAGATGGTGTAGTACTGGCATAAGGTTATGCATATAAGAGCAAGAGAATATAATTGGTAGTCCAAATACAAACACATTATAATTTTATTATTGTTTTAGTTCTCTCATAATAACCACAAATGTAGTGGTTTAAGACACAGATTTATTATCTTACAATTCTATAGGTCCAAGGCCTATCACAGGTCCCACCAGGTCAAAATTAAGGCACTGACAGGGCTGCATTCCTTTCTGTAGACTTCTTGCTTTTTTCAAATTCTAGAAGCAGCCTACATTCTTTGGGTCATTGTTCCCTTCCTCTACTTTCTTTTTTAATTTTTTTAAATTATTATTATTTTTTAAAGACAGGGTTTCCCCATGTTGGTCAGGCTAGTCTTGAACTCCCAACCTCAGGTGATCCGCCTGCCTTGGCCTCCAAAGTGCTTGGATTACAGGCGTGAGCCACCACGCCCGGCCCTCCCTTTCTCTATTTTCAAAGCTAAGAGAGGCAAGTCAAGTCTTTCTCACATCATGTCACTCTGACTTTTTCCATAGTCACATTTCCTCTGACTCTGAATTCTTCTGCCTCTCTCTTTCACTTTTAGTGATGCTTGTGATTACATTGAGCTCATTCAGATACTGCAGGATTATTTTCCTATATTAAGGTGGGCTAACTGGCAACCTTGGTTCCATCTGCAACCTTACATGTAACATATTGTATCTGTAGATTCCACGAATTAGGATGTTGTATGTGTGTAGGGAGTCACATTCTTCTGATCATTACCCCAATGGCCAATTAAGTTTTGACCAAGATGCCAGGACAATTCAATAGGGAAGGAATAGTCTTTTTAATAAGTGGTGCTAGAACAACTGGATATACATATGTTAAAAAAAAAAAAATGAAGTTGGATTCCCTAACTCATACCACATATAAAAACTCAAAATGGATCAGGGACCTAAATGTAAGAACTAAAATGATAATAATTCTTAGAAGAAAATGTAGGAGTAAATGTGACCTAGGCAATGGTTTCTTAGATATGCTACCAAAGGCACAAGCAACAAAAGAAAAATGTTATGCATTGGACTTCACCAAAATTAAAAAAAAAACTTTTTGTTTCAAGGGACACCATCAAGAAAGTGAAAAGACAACCTACAGAAAGGAAGAGAGTATTTGCAAAAACTTATTATCAATTTGCAAAAAGACTTGTATCCAAAATATAAAAGAATTCTTAAAACTCAACAATAAGAAAGCCCAATTTAAAAATGGGCGAAAGGTCTAAACAGAAAAAAATAAAAATAAAAAATAAAAATGGGCAAAAGGTCGAAACAGATGCCTCACCAAAGAAGATATACATACAGCAAATAAACATATGACAAGATGCAACATCATTTGTCATTAGAGAATTTCAAATTAAGAGATACCACTACACACCAATTAAAATGGCTAAAACACACACACACACACACACACACCCACACACCCTCCCCCCACCCAAACGAATAGCAAATGCTGACGAGAATGTGGAGAAGCAGGACCTCTCTCATTGCTAGCCAATACCAAATCTTACATCCACTTTGGAAGACAGTTTGACAGTGTCTTACAAAATTAAACATAATCTTACCATATAACCCAGTAATTATGCTCCTAGGTCTTTACTCAATTGGTTTGAAAATGTAGGTCCACACAAAAACCTGCATATGAATGCTTAGAGCAGCAATTTATAATTGCTAAAAATTGGAAGCAACCAAATGTCCTTCAGTAGGTGAATGGATAAACAAATTGTGGTACATTTATGCAAAGGAATATTATTCAGCAGTGAAAAAAATGGGCTATCAAGCCATAAAAAGATATGGAGGAAACTGAAATGTATATTTCTAAGCTCCTTCTCTTCCTCCTTTGAGATAGGGTCTTCCTATGTTGTCCCATGATCAGCCAGTTGATCCAGTACCATTTATTGAATATTAATTTCTTCTTCCTCTTCCTCCTCTTTCTCCTTCTCATCCTCCTCCAAGATGGGGTCTTGCTATATTGCCCAGGCTGATCTTGCACTCCTGGGCTTGAGTGATCCTCTTGCCTCAGCCTTTCAAATAGCTGAGACTACAGGTGCATGCCACGGCACCTAGCTTATTCATTCTTGACTCACTTCTAACTTCATTTAGCTCAGGTATTCAGTCAACATTTATTGAATTTGAACTTCACACTTTGTGCTTGGTGGTATATGGAAAAGAAAACACATATCATCCTGCCCTCAAGATGCTTAGGGCCCTAGTGAAAAGCACACCGGGTGGCACTAAGATGCATACAAGATTAAATATAAGATTTCTTGGTGTGTCCTTTCTACACAATCCTCACTGGAAACCACCTGTTTCTCATAGCATATGAGAAGGGTCTGGTATATGACCTCTTTTTCCTACTGTGAGACATAGTAGAATTCTCTAAGACCAGCTGTGGTGTTGAATCACTGCCTATGAGGCTGTGCACATTAGTGGGAAAAGCACTAGATTTTGGAACTCAAGCAATTGGACTCCAGGCCTGGAATACCTTGGGTAAGGCACTGCTTATTTGCAGGTTCGGTTTTGTATACATGCAAACATACACACACCTAATTTAGGATTCCTCATAGCTGACACCACAAATGACATCTCTCCACCTTTTTAGAAAGGTGGAGAGCTTACCTATTTAACAAACCTGCACAGTTACCCTGAACCTAAAATAAAAGTTAAAAAAAAAAAGTTTCAACAAGATAAGTAGTTCCAGCAGGGTAGCTACAAACAGCTAACTGTGTGACGTAAAAATACTCAAAATACATCATTCCTTCCCGAGATGCTCTGGCCTGAACAGCGCACCTCTTTTACATTTAGGTGTACATTCTGCTGACCTCCTTGGTATTCTAAATTCTCAGCCTCGTTTGCACAATCTCTCTGGAAAACTTCAGTCATTCCATTCATGGAGAAGAATAACTTTATAGAAGCATAATCCAAATGGCCAAACACAGAGTATAGAGCAGAAAGATGTAATTTCAGGCTGGGTGCGATGGCTCATGCCTGTAATCCCAGCACTTTGGGAGGCTGGGGCCAATGGATCACCTGAGGTCAGGAGTTCGAGACCAGTCTGACCAACATGGCAAAACCTACCAAAAATGCAAAAACTAGCCAGCGTGATGGTGGGTGCCTATAATCCCAGCTACTCAGGAGGCTGAGGCAGGAGAATCGCTTGAACCCGGGAGGGGGGGTTGCAGTGAGCTGAGATCTGCCCCTGCATTCCAGCCTGGGCGACAACATTGACACTCCGTCTCAAAAAAAAGAAAAAAGAAAAAGATACTACTTCATAGGAGACTTTCGAAGAAGTTTGGTGGGCCAGGCATGGTGGCTCACATCTGTAATCTCTGTACTTTGGGAGGCCGAGGCAGGCAGATCACTTGAGCCTAGGAGTTCGAGACCAGCCTAGCCAATATGGCGAAACTCTGTCTCTATAAAAAATATGAGAATTAGTCAGACATGGTGGCGCGC